GAGAACTCACTGCACCCAGTTGCAAGATGGCAGTTCTTCGCCTGTTCTGCCCGATGAGCAAGGATTATGTCATTTTCATGCGAAACGATTTGGACATCAGTTTCACTAGAAGTGCCACCAGTATTTGGTAAAGTGAAAACAAAATGCCTTCAAAAGATCTTCCACATTTGCTTCCCATTTTGGCAAGGTTACCCTGGTCCCGTTGTTATAAACAAATCGGTGTATCTTTTGGAAAGGGGCTATCATGGCCCAGCGCAACGCACTTTTCACTGTAGAACGGGACCCGATCTTGTCATGGGTTCTAGAAGTGACCGATAGCTATACCAACAATTTTAACAGACTAGCAGGGTTGTTTTCAGCAAGAATGTGGAAGTGGTGAGCGTACAACTTGACAAACAAATTGTTTTATGTAACTCGCGAGATCAAGCATCGAACAACATCCCGTGCTAAAACGAAGCGCTGGCTGGTAAGCCGTAGGCGTCGTGCCTTCCTACCCGGTGCGCATATTCAATGCGATAAGTTACGCCACTTCCGCTAGCCTTCAGTACCAGATGTACAGTCTTAAGGAAGCATGCAAATTTTCCCGGCCGCCGCTACTCCAGGTCAGCTAGTTTTGGAAGGGGGGGGTGACATGTGGGGTCAGTAGAGTACTTTAATAGCTATTTAAGACGCTCGTTTTGCTCTTCATTAGAGCGGAAGGCCCACACGCAAAGGCATGTCAGTATCCACCGTGGCTTGATGGGTAGCTTTTGATAGCTTAAATTCTATTATCAACAAATTTTTCTTCAAAAGTCCGTGTTGAGGCGGACAAGATCATCTTCCTGAGCCAGCTTCGAATTACTAGCAACGAGCTGGAAGTCGCCTTGAGCTTAACGGCGGGATGCCGCGAGACCCTGCGCCGTTAGGGGGTGTGCATGGAGCTCGTAACTTATTCTATGTTGAATATAGCTTAGATGATATGTCATTCTCGGAGATTGGCTGTGCTGTTCGTCTCTTTGGCAGAGGTAAAGGTGCCAGATCAAATACCGGGATTTCTCTCTGTCACTTCTCATTGGAGAACCGCTCAGCTGCTTCGTAGTGTCGTTCGTCGGCCTCGGGTGCCTCGCCTTTCTCAGCGACTATTTGATCCAAGTGGGTACGCAAGAAAATAAAACTCGATGCAGATTATGCTCGCACTATCAGGTGCGATATAGAAACAGAACTATCCTTGCAATCTGTGCTCATGAGGCGCTTGGTTTATGTGCAATGTTTTTATCGAGACGCCCCATGCGGTAAAAGCTTTAGGGACACGTGCACACAACATTAATACTTTTCAGACTAAAATTATGGCTAGATCGTACTAAAGTATAATTTTATGATGATTTTACCATAAGTACCGGCGCTAATGAGAGTGAAGCAACATTATAACAGAAGGTCCCTAGACAAGTGGTCTTGTAGCTCCATGCTGTGCAGGGCATATTTTTCTAAAGATATTTCAAAATTAAAAAGTATAAGAAGTCCTTTGCCACTTTAGAGACTTTTGGTTCCGCACATGGGTGGATCAAACGAGTTCAACATCTGTCCTTTAATTAATGCAAGATCTAATAGTAAATATTTTTTCTATGTGCGATGTGCACACATCCCTGATTCATCAAGTCAGTGACACGAACTTCAAGGCATGAGGATTTTATATTTAACTTTATTATCAAGTGAATTCTCATCACAATGCTTCCCATCGACCATCGAACAACACCGTTTTGAACACGAAGAACAAGGCAGATTGCACTTCATATGTTTTGAGTGCCTATACAGATTGCAGAAGAGTATTGCTTGCTTCAATAGATTTAGTTACTTCTTAAACTTATTCATAAAGTAATGGAGTATGGAGGCTAGCACTTACCCACGCTGCATGAAGCTGCTCAAAACTCTTACCTGTATCTGAATAGTTGGTTGAGTGTATGCTATCTTCAGATAGCGAACTCAGAAGTCTCGCATAGCACTTTGTTTCTAGCGACAATTTTGACGTCTAGTCCTTATTCCGCAAGTTGATCACATAAGAAAACGTTCGACGACATCTGGTGCTCTCTCCGTGATGTCTGTCACCTACTTGCATGACACCTGCATCGATTGTATCTACTGCAATTGATTGAGGAAATATTTCTACTTACCTGCATTATAAATGCTGTCTTTTTCTGCTTGCTTTAACTTTACATTAAACTGCTTAAGTAATATATTACAACAACACAACGAGATTTGTTCGTTACCATAGACCGTAAGACCATTATAGCTACAGTAGGCTATCACAAAGTTTTACATCGAATGGTCAAAAAACCTAATTTTGCGGGAGCAGCAATGCATCTCAACTAACAATAAATAATTGAGAGCAATCATAATAAAACTTTGCACCATTTGGCCGCCCTGGTTTTGCAGCGGGGCTGCCGTAGCTTTGCGCTTGAGGAAGCGTCTTTAGGTCACCGACCTTTCGTTCTTTTCGAGAACCAAGTACCAGTGCAGCGGATAGCAATCCGCTGCCTCTAAAAGTACTTAAAAGACTTAACCAAGGCAAACGAACACTTCTGCTCAAAATCAAAACTGATTTTTATTTATATATTTTATCCTAATGCTAAAAGTCTAGATTTTCCTAAATATATCAAATATACATAGTCAAATCTAAATACATGCATAACCACTGGCTGCCTAGCCCCGTACCGTATTTTTGTTTAGGTGTGTGGTCACATTATGCAAATCTCGTGTGACACGCACCCCCCCTGTTATTAGGGTTCGCGTAACCCCGTTACACCCTCCCCCATCAAAATTAAGAACAGTCCCAATCAATTATTGCCTCAACGAGGCTCGCGTGCCCGTTAGACACTGCAACTCCATTTGTTGGAACAAACAACTTCCTTGCTCAATGAGCCCTGTGTCAATGACATAAAAATCTCCAAGTCTCGCCGGTTTTGACGGCGAGCATGAGCAGCCCAACTTCATCTCCCGCACTCGGTGTAACGTCGGACAGTGCGTCCGCAGCACCGAGGGGTGTATATCCTAGGATCGATGAGCACAAACGTCGCACTCCGCCCACACTTTCAGTGCCGAGTGGCCTCGTTGAGGATGTGGTCGACTGTGAGTCTGACACTCCTT